GGGTGGCAAAAATTTTGGAAAAGTGGAACGCGACGGTTGACCCTGCTTCAGAACCCCAGTACCTGTGAGTAGTTGCGAGAGTACCCTGCATTCGTGCTCAGCATGGTCTCTTTCATAGCCTTCTCCTCTTCAGCGGCCTGTAGACGATCTGTGAGGCGTCGAACTTCGTGACTCATTTCCGACATCTTCAGCTCTCTGAAACGTGATTACTTCAAGGGTCAATTTCTACGAATGAATGACAATTTTCTTCTACCGCTCAGCTGCTTCTGCTTCTTTTCTTTTCTCAACGTCCTTCAAAGACTTCTTCTCTTTATCGTGAAGGTCGATTTGTTTCTTGAGACGGTTCACCTCCATTTCAGCCTGTTCGACTCTGAAAACACGCCCATACGAAGAAGTCCTCATACTCTCTGGTAAGGAGCTCACCGTGAAGTTGCATCCCGAACTTCGGCGGATTTTCGTAGAGAACGCTGAGCGGATCCTGCGCAGTGTATCGTTAACAGTGTGCAGATAGGCTGAAATTAGAACAACATCAAAAAGCTTGTTGAGAAAGGGGGCTTTAAATTGTTTAGCCCAATAGGTGTAAATTAAAGTCCAGCTCAAGAGTTTGAGAAATGGCCATCGATAGCTTTATGGCTTTACGTACGTTGTAGAAAGGAGCAACCGCTCAAGGACAGTCATTTCCCAACCGCAAACGAACGAGTACAGCTCAACATCTTACATGGGCTTTCACTGCGAGTTCGAAGCCTTTGCGGAACCGAGCTCAGTTCAGTCATGTTGCAAATCCTAGCGAAGGCGCTTTCCATCTCCTCGTTCCTGTCTCTCAATTGATTCAGGTCATCTTGCAGTCGCTGCACTAGACGTGTCTTTTCCGACAACTGCTTGTCTGTCTGAAATAAAATTCCATTTTCGAATTGTTACAATACTAGTGGAGAGGAAGCAAGTAATCAGTGACTGGTTGTCATGAAGAACGCACTCCTCCTACAGGAGCGGTGCGGACGACAAAACCGTTGAGGGGAGTTTGTACGCGGCTTATTCTCGTACTGTAGCGATTCGTAACCATTACCTCTCAATTACAGTGCAATCGACGTCAAGCGATTCATGAGAATAGTTCCATCAGCGGTGATTAGGGGCATCCTAACATGTCTATTTTATTCTAGATGAGGCAGAATAATAATCAAGTAGTAAGAGTAATCTATACATTATATCACTGAAACGAACTTAGCCGACAAAGCTAACAAAATTCAAAAAGTGTTGACGATGGCTGCCCAAAGCCAGACTGGGTGTTGGAATTGGGATCTGAATCTTACTGCTTTCCTAATGCTTTCAGACGCAAGAGGGCAAGAGGTAGCCACGGTTGCATAGTAAATGTACATAGTACCGCTATGTTCCAGATTTCTGCTATGCTTTCTTCGGAAAATCAAAAAGTTTTGTGATGCTATGCTTGCTCTTGTCTCCAGGTTTACCATAAAAACCTGATCGAATTGAGTCATAGAATCTAAGTGAAAAGTCTACGAAGAATGAGCTCGAGAAATCCCTATTCGCAAGAACTTCTGCTTCATGGCTGGGTGCTCTGTCTTGTCGAAAATTCCGAATTAAGAACCAGTTAACATTCTGTACATGAACGGGGCCCTCAAGTTGCCCAAGTGGGTTTCTACAGCAGTTTTGCAGGCTATAAAATCCCAAAGAAGAAAGACGGAAACTTCTCATTTCGAATATTTGTCCCGGTCGCAACTGTGAGATCTACGAGTATCAACTGTTTTCCATTATAACCATATGTGGTTTCCAAACTTATTGAAACACCCCAAAGTCCAACTTACGATTGTTCGTGACTAATTCTGCATTCGATATTTGTCCCGGTCGCAACTGTGATTCACGAGTCTCTCTCTCTTCTCCATATAGCCAAAAGGTGGTTCTTAACTTAATGAACACCCCGAAGTCACACTCTACAATGTTTTTTGATACCAACTACTTCTTGGCGTTTGTCATTTGAGTAACCCTTTTAATGTGCTCCTAGAACTTTTCATACGACCTGACGGTAAGCGATTAGAACTGACCTCAATCTGAGTTGTTGACAAGGCTTCATACTTCGTTATCACTTCCTCAAGCACCTCGTCCTTTTCTTTCGCCATTTTAGTTCTCAGTTCGTTGTTCTGTAAAGAATAAAAGTTGCTGGTAACAATCTGGCATGGATTACCGATGCAAAAACCTTGAATTCGGCATGGCGAATCGCCTTCTTCATCATAGCCGCACATCGGGTGAACTCAGTCAGCTGCTTGTCCAGATCGCTGGCTGTTGATGCGTGCAGTTCTCGAACCTGCAGCGAACACTATGGCTATCACATAAGAGAATACGGAACTTGTACTAATGACAGTCTTTGTTTCCTCCATCTTTTAGCATCTTTTTCTGTGTAAAAACGGTTTCATGTTGCAACCAGTAAGAGAACCATTAAGGAGAATGCGTGAGGCGTCTGATAGGCTAATTGGCGCAAAAAGTCACGGAAAGGCTTTTACACAACAGGACTGGAAAGCACAGTGAGGTTTTTTTTTGAATTCCGTCCCACAATAAAGGTTTAAATATGCCCGTCTGGTTTAATTTGCACAGATCTGGTAAGTAGGTAGAAAAGGATCCAATTCAGCCAAATATATGCTGAAATGTACAAAACAAACTTAGCTAGCATTGCAGCCTAAGAAGTGCAATAAAAACTTAGACCGGAAAAATCGAGCTCAGCGATTTCGCCGCCTGAGGGCTGACAGAAACGGTGTTTCTGAACGAAATCAGAACAATAAAATAGATATCATTGAATAACGGGAATCTCTTCTCAGGCGGGAGTTGAACCCGCCTTCTCACATTTCGAATTATGGTCAAAAAAAACATCAACAAGTAATCAAAAATGGAAGTAATCCTTCGACCTCCGTGATTAAATATTGGAACAGCAATGAAGAATGAAAGAAGTAAGAAAGAACACAGGCATTACTACATTACATTACAGGCATTATTGACTTGTTTTTGATAGTTAACTGCTGTTTTTGGCCGCAGTTCGCCTTGCGAATGTTTCACAAGAATGCTGGGTTGGTAAACCCAGTAAGCAAAAGGTGCGGGTTCGAGTCCCGTCCGGGGCGGAAGTTTCGTTCACAACCCAGCATTCTTGTGAGACAGGCATTACTATTGTAATTCAGTCAAGCAAAATAATGTTTGTCATAAAAGCATTTTAAGGTCGATTTTAGATGAGACGACGTTAGCATTGATAAAGAGAAACGGAAGTGAGAAAAAAGAGGACTGAATAGACAAC